TATATATATGTGTGTGTGTGTGTGTGTGTGTGTGTGTGTGTGTGTGTGTGTGTGTGTAAAAAGTTGAAAACTCTAAAGTATACACTAGTTGTAACTCAAATAGGGACTAAAATCTTTACCAGTTTATCAACAAGAAGTGATTTTATTTTTGATGATCAATAAGGAAAATGTATTTTGTGTTTGTTTTATTTGAGTTACAAATAAGATTGAATTACATGACGATCCCAGTTCCCTTCTCCCTCTCTTCCTCCCCTACCACCCCCCCAACTAAAACCCTACCTATCACATACCCTTTCTTCTAATCTACACCTAACTCAACCTTTCTGCTCCCTCATGACCTCTGGGAAAATGTATTTTTGATAGTGACCCTTTTATGTGTTTTATGTAATAATTCCAATTATTTGGTATAATAGCATTTCAAATCTTTTACACATTTTTGTGCTAAAGTTATTGTTCATTCTCCATTTTAACTTTGGCTTATCCAATAATTCCATTCATTTTACAAAACCATACCAGCGTATGCTACTTTGTCAACACATGCAATAACATAATTGATATTTAAGTTTTTCTTTTACTATTTCATATAAATTATGAAATATAGTTTGAAAATGTGGTATTAAATTTCACAAATATTTCTGTTCCTAACTATTTTCTAATTTGTCTTTTGTAGATAAAGAAGGAAATACTAAAAAGCCTAGAGGCAGTTTTTTGATTCCTACGGTTCCACATAGGGATTCCAAACATTTTGCAAAAAAGGGATCCATTGTTCCTAAAGTTAATGATGCTGAAGTTACATATGGGAACCTATTTGTTGGTATGTGGAAAATGTATAATTCACTTCTCAAGTCTAGTCCATGTTAATAATTTTCTCAATATCAAAACAGATATTTCAAGCAATAAATTCATTAAAAATCTGATGAATTTATCATAGTCTTAGTGGTTCATCTGCTCTGCGTAAATTTTTCAATGATTAGCAATAGAAATTCTCTGCCTTTACAATATTCTTAATACCTCAGTTGTATTATGTATGCCAAAACTTGTGCCTCCTGGTTCCATTCATTAAGTACCTGGGTACAAAACTTAAGAGTAGGTTTTTTTTCTTTATTTAACTAAAATGTTAAATATACTGTTGATCACTTGTAAATTTTTTATAACATTATAAGTGCTCTCTGTATATAGGTTGTGATCTGCAGAGTTAAGGGCTTTATTACCTTTTTAAAAGCTGGATTCCAAGGTAACCTATTTTAGAAAGTGGTAAGCATAGGTAAACATGGGACTTTAATTGTATATTAAATTAACTTTAGATATTCCTTTTTCTAAATATCATTCATGTGCTAATATTAACTTTTATCAATTGGGCAAATATACCTTCAATCATGTACATCTTATGCATTTGTGTAATTGCATATGTAAATATTTTTGAAAAAATACAACATGCTAATTTATACTGGTTAAAATTGTCATAATACAAATTATTTTCTTATTTTTAAGTACATTGCTTAGAGAAAAAGACATTTTGTTTCTGTAATGTTTTCAGCTGAAGTCTAATTCTCTATAGTAAGCAATGGTAAAGAAATGTTAATCATCTTTTTTTCTAAACAAAATAAACAGTATATTGTGAGGAATATTTGTGGATAAATTCCTGACAAGTATAAAACACCACTCTTTATTGAATAAATACACTTTAAACTGTTTCTGAGTATTTGAAAATGACATTATTATTATTATTATTATTATTATTATTATTATTATTATCTTTAAAATATAGTAGATGCATACAAATTTATTGGAGAGTATAGAATACTTTGTTCAAAGGGTTTTTATTTGCCTATTATAAGTAGTGCTAACTAGAAGAATACTCTGTGGTCAAATAATAATTTATATAACAATTGTGGACTTTAGGGATGGAAATTGGACATGATCATGTGGACTCAGATGAAAGTATTTCAGATAGAGCCAATCCTGGATCTCTCGAAAATGAAGAGAAGAATCAACAATTCTTTGCACCTGCAGAAGGATCAAAGGCTTATGACTATTTTCAGAAGGTTGTTAATGCAGCTCAGACCTGGTTCAGTCTCTTTGGGTGGCCTGAAGGGCCCCATTCTCTTTCTATTCCTGAGACAATAAGAAGGTGACTATACATATTTTGTAAATTCTTTGTTTTGCCTTTTTCTACAGTATAGTGTGCTGATTTGGATTATTTTACACGAAACAAACTTAATTAATTTACTTTAAACTGATGAATCTTTAATAGAATATCGAGACTAAAAAGATGCAAATTTAAACTCTGTGATTCATGTGTACTTCCACATATTTTGTTTTGACTTACCTTGTTAGTGAAAATGAATTCTATAAATTATTGAGTTTCAATTTTGATCTTTCCAGGATTATACTCTACTTATTCTTGCTAAATTCCTCATGTTCTTTTGTGCCCACCCCACTGGCCTCCTTCATCTTTTGAAATAATTCCCCTTCTACTTTCATGTCTTTTTATAATTTAGATTATGTTTATGATAGGAAATATGATATTATTTTTCTAAATTTGCTTTATTTCCTTTCATGTGATGATATCCTGTTGCCTCAGTTTCTTTTAAGCAACATGATTTCATCCCTCTTTATGTTTGAATGTGTGTGTGTATGTGTGTGTGTGTGTGTGTGTGTGTGTGTGTGTGTGTGTTAACTTTTTCTTCACAATATATCTGTAGATGAATTTAGGATGATTGCATAACTTGGTGATAGCCATAATGTCTAATTTCATTCCTTTGCATGTATATGCAGGAATCTTTTAAATCTGTATCTCAGTACCCTCTCTTATGAAATAAATTCATTGGTTTGACTTTTTATTTGTACCCCATAGGACTCATATACTGTTGTCATAATTGTTTCTTTATTGCTTTCAGAACATAATGATTCCTCAACTTTAGCTTCAGTCCTTGATATTCCATCTTCTTTCTGTTGGTGATTCTTTTCACTGAATTTTTTTTTATTGATTTCCTGGGTTTTTCATTTCTGTGGTTTCCAGTTGTTTCTTCAGATAGTCTCATCCAAGTTCTTTTTTTGTGAGGCAGGATATTGCTATGTATATGTAGCTCTGGAACTCCTCATGTAAACTAAGTTGGCCTTAAACTATGGTAATTCTCCTGCCTTTCTATAGCAAGTACTACAGTTACAGGTGTGCTCATTATGCCGTTCTACATCCAAGGCCTGTTATTCATTTCTTTTAATCATCTTTTCTTTTAGTTTTCTTTGAAGTTAATCATCATTTTTAGTGGGCTATTACAAGCATTGGAAGTTTTGGAAGTGTGGTTTTCCTTTTGCTTTTTGGATTTCTTATGTTTTAATGTTGGGATTTGCAGCTGTTTTATTTTATTGATCTTTTTCAATTGTGAGGTTTTTCTTTAGATATCAGTCTACATGGAGATGTCAAACAGTTGTAAGGGCAACCATTTCATACAAAACCAGATAGAGAAATCTGTTAAAGATGACTGCTTCTCCAATAATCATATAAAATAAATTGGCAAGCAATGTGTAGTATGGTCTGATATAAAATTTAGGAAATTTAAAAGAATTTGTAATACCAAAATACAGGTTTGGTAATAAAGGGAAAAATCTAAACACAACCCAGTCAAGGTTAAATTAAAGAAGAGAAAGGGAAAAGGTGTGAGGGAATGGAAGAGCAAACAACAGTAGATTTTAAAATGTCTGATCTTTGAAGAGTTTGGGAGGAGGGATGAATATGATCATGTGTTGTATGGACATTTCAAAGAACTGATAAAAATGTGTTATGATAAATCTTTCTGCTACCCGCTTGGGTTCTGCCTCCCACATGGATAGCCAAAATAATACAGAGACTTATATTAGGTACAAATGCTGCTTGGCCAATGACTAGGATTTCTCATTTGCTAGCTCATTCCTAATTATCATAAATCTATATATTTTTAAGACTTATTTTATCGGATGCCTTCCTTTGGCATCCTCATCCCCAGGATCACATGGTGGCTCTGAGCAGAGAGCAGCAGGAAGAGCGAAGGGGAAAAGGGCCGCTTCCTGCTTGTCCTTGCTTAAATATGATTCTCCCTGCTATGCCACTTCCTGCCTGGATCACTTCTTTACTACATTTCACAGAATCCTTGACTCCTAGTCCAGTCTAACTTGCTGCCTCATTGGACAAACAGTACTTTATTCAACAATAACTAAGATGAACATACACAGAAGTACATTCCCCATCAAAATGCATATTTAATATAAAGGATCTGATTACAGAATAAAGATTGTGCAATATAATTAAACAAATGTTAAATGAAGACTAACATGAAAACAATTTCAAATATAATATGAATAAAAGCATTACCAAAACAGTAAAAGTAGAGTTGAAGAAGATAAAGATTGCAGAGTATTTTTCTAGTTCCTTTATTAATGGAATGTACTAGGACTTGGTCACAGCTATTGTTTATTATAGTTAGGAGGTATGTATTCTCTAACATATCCCAGAGTCATGGAAGAAGAGTGAATACTGAGATTTATATCGAATAGGAAGAAGAGAGGAGCTGGGCACTCAGCCTGCCCATCTTAGCTTTTCCAGACCCATCCTGTCAGCACACCAGTCCATGTGTTAGAAGACCAAGAGAAATACAGTCATGCATCTTCATGACTGAGCTCAGAGTCCTTATTCCCAGCTTACAGCAAATCGTCATTTAAAAGTGACAACTCCGGAGGACAATCAGCAATTGTTCAAATACTTATCCAGTAACCTGCAAGTAATTGAACATGTACCTTACTACGCAGTGCATGATTTGCTGTTAAACTCATTCATTAATTCTTGTTTATATTTAGTATGTTATTTTCTAGACTTTCCCTTAATTTTTATATGACTTATAGCTCAATGATAAAATTCCTCTATCTCGAACATAATACATATAATTAATTTACAGTCTGTTGCACGCTACATTATGTGGAGCCCCATGTGTCTGTTATTGGCTATTATTTATTCATTTTTTATTTACCTTGTTTGTGATATTAATTTTTTCAATAAAGTATTTATTTCCTAATAGTAATTCTATAGTATAAGACATCTACTATATTATATATTTTTCAGTAAATTGGCAATAGTATACAGTAAGTGGTATAACCAGCTTTGATCAATTTAACCCTTTCCTAATATAATGTATTATTAGGGTATTGAGACCCTTTGTACCAATCTTGAGAATTTCTAATCAAAATGACCCCTTGGATACATTTGATTTCTTAATCTGAGCTCATGATACATCTGTGATTTTAATTGTATACAAATAGTTACACAATTTACCATGAGATATATGACAAAATGTAGAAAGCAAAGATTGATATACTTTTTTTACTCCATCAAAAAATGAGTATGTATCACAACCTGTGCAAAAGATGTAGGGAATGAATATTGCTATGTCTTCCTTAAAGATTAGTTGTGTATAAAGGAACAGTAGAATTCTGAAATTTGTGTTTTAAATAAGAATTGTTATTACATCAGTGTTCAGGCTATCCTATTTTAACTTTAAGTCCCAAATATTGAGAAAGTGAGTGAATTTATTTTTTTATATACATGTATAATATGTGAGACTGTTTAGGTTACTTGATATAGTAACATATATTGAATAGATGGTAGCATGGATCAACATTATTGTATTTTCTCAAACCCATTCAGTTTCTAGTCCACACTTTGAGGTTCTCACTTTCAGTGTTAGAGATGTGTGTAAATGAGATAGTGTAAAATTTGGGGGAATATTTAAAAATTTATTTTGCACTTGCAAATAGTAGCCACACGAATTTAGGATTTATTTCTCTGTCTACACTAGTATTATTTGCTTTAGTTATTGACTGTATTTTTATATAAAGTAACATTTTGAGACCAAGATTCATTTACTGCTTTTTTGTTTCCATAGGGATGTGCAGAAAATACAATTCTATTCAGCATCCTCACCAGCCAAGAAATTTTCCAGACAGCATGATTTTTCCAAATATAATAAGACAATTTATGATGTGGTTCTTAACTTGAGTGGAAGACTACCACCTGGCATTAACTCAAACCAGTCCTTACCTGTGAACAACACTGAAAGGGTGATCCAGCTCCATTCGCAACATGCCTCACTTCTAGACTTTATCACGTAAGAGCTTAGATACACTAGTTTAAACACTAGTTTAATCATGGCTTAGCTGAATTGATGAATGGATGCACATGTGAGTGCATGGAAGGTAATAATTGATCTTTTCTTTCAAAATCTTTTGTTATACAGATTGTAATATATATCACAGAGAAGTATACACTAGTTAACATCAGCTCAGATCATTGGTATGGTTTGTTAAACCAACTTGCTCACTCTTACAAGGTTTATGATGCAAATTTGGGTTATATAAATTCCAAGGTGGTATGGATAGTCCTAGTCCATGGCATATTTTGAAGGCATATATGTCATAAATCCAGTGAGCAAAAAAATGAAACTAATAAAAATCCTTAGATTACTGGTAGTATCACATCTTAGATTATGTGAGTGAAAGGCTCATAAGTTCCCCTATTCCTAGCTAAGGAACTACTGAGAGTGGAATGCTTCTGGAGAAATGGCAGACAGTTTTCTTTAAAAATATGGGCCCTGGTAGATTGCTTATGCTCCAGGAGATGACTCCATAAACTTGTTCATGAGGACAGCATTAATTGAAATCATTGTGTCATTAAACAGAAAAAAAGAGCACATGAAAATGGGAATATAACACTTTTCAAGGACAGCCTGGGAAAAAAGAAGAATGGAGTGTGTACTGGGTATGATCAAGATACTTTATAAACATGTATGAAATTATCAAAGAATTTTTTAAATTAATAATTGTCGCAGACAAGCATGTACAGATAGATATTAGTGCTACTCATTTAAGCTCAAATGCACGACTGATGGAGATTCTGAAAGACCTGAGATAATTCACTAGCCCTTCTTTAGAAAAGAATACAACATTGGAAATAGAAAAGTGGATGTGTGACTTGACATCCCATTATCAATGTAAGAAAGCTTAAAGTTGAATTTGAGTCTTTACTGACAGTGAATAGTCCACATCCCTGAAGCCACATTTTAGTAATGGTGGTAATGAAAGAGACATCTGAAATTTTGAGTTTTTCCCACAAAGAACATTGAGACTTACCTTAAGAGATTTGAGGCGTTATAGGACGTTAAACAAATACAGCATATATGAAAGTTAAAGTTTTTGTTTTCTTCTCCAAACCTCTAAATCAGTGATTCTCAACCTCCCTAATGCCGAGACCCTTAAATATGGTTCCATATGTTGTAACCCACAATCATAAAATTATTTCCTTGCCATTTCATAACTCTAGCTTTGCTACTGTTATGAATTGTGATATAAATGTCTGACATTCATGATATCTGATATGTGACTTCTAAAGGGGTCATACGCACAGCTTGAGAACCACTGCTCTAAATCAAGTCAGGGTGAGAGAATGGGAAAATTAGGTCAGTTATAAAAAATAGCAAAAGTACAATTATGTAAATAATTGTAATTCTATTGTTTATGTATTGAATTGTGCTCTACTTAAATTCCTTTGCTGGTACACTGAGTCCTAAGATAACAGTATGTGTAAGAAAGGTCTCCAAGTTAAATGAAGACATAGGGAGGACTTGGGACCTTATAATACATAAATTGTGAACTTTATTGAAATGTTAACATTTAACTATAAGAAGTTATACCTTTTCTTTTCATTTATTATTTGCTGATTCTAATCTTCAACGGACTAATTTAATGAAGTAAACCCACTAATTAGAGAAGGAAAATTTCACATACATTTGTTTAACAGTGACATTTGTATAACTTAGTGGCATATTCACTTGGAGAGAAAGAATGTTTAAGTACTTATCTCTGTGACACTTGTGATTATTGTTTGCATATTTCCCAGTACTTTTGACATTAACATGGGTCATTCTCTTTTGACATTTTTTGATGTGAACATTGCTGGTATGGAAGAATGATTTTGGCATCAAAGCCCAGCCATTCAGATTTATTTGTTCTTCATCAACAAATACTTGGCTGTCAGGATATGTTGACTGTGATAAAAATTACTTAACATTTAGAAAGTGGCAGCATTGTTAATAAAATCGGGTCATTAATCAAAGATATGTGCATACGTTTTGTCAAGGAAATAAATGTATTAAAATTCAAAATATTTGCAAATGTTATTTGCTTCCCTTCTTAAATTAATAACTCTGTGGGTATGGACATTTGCATAGATACCTACTTAGTTATTACATGAGTCATGTTTAGAGTTTAAAAATTTTAAAGACCTCTGCTGTTTGAAGATTGCATTTAGAATTGAATAACCCATCATATGTATTTTGTTTTGAAATACTCATTGTAAACTTAGGATACTGAAGCAGTAAGCCTATGTAAAAGTATAATCAAATGTGTCATTAAACGCAGTTCTCTATAAGAGGACAAAGTAGACATGAAATCTGCTGGTGAGACAAAAACATAATGACTATGATGTCATTAAGTTAGGCTTTGAGAAATATTTGAAGTAAAAAATGTGGATATCAGTGTCTACAAGTACATTAATCATTCTCAACTTTTACACAGCTTTATTCTGCTGGACAATAGAATGGTCATCATAACAAGTTATGTTCCTTCTTGACAAGCTCTCATTTAATTTGTTCCATTTCATTAGGCTGTGAGTAGCCTTTGTTAGAATTGAGAAGTTGCTTCTAAAATATTGCATTGCCTTAGTCACACAGAAGTATTCTGGTTTCTGCATATGCCTCTGAATTGTCTGTCTGCCTTTTGTTGTACTCTGCTTTAAATTATTTCACAAGATCTCAACTTAATAGGAACATGTGTCCTGCAATTCTTATTTAGGCTTTAGGTTGGCCATTCTTGCTAATGAGTGGTGTTTCAAAGGAAAAAACAAAACCTTTTGTAACACTATAGTATTTTAAATATGGTGACAATTTGTTGAGTAATATACACAGGGTAGGAATTGGCTGAAAAGCCAAAGAATGGAGGTTTGATATCTGCTTCTCGTGTCACTGTAGACTAGTCCAGGACCATACAGACACAATTGAAGGATTCTAGAACTGTGCTCACTGCTTGGATCTCACAGGTTTTTTCCCCACATTTCTAAAGACAGAGTGTCCATGATTAACTTTGCAGTGGCATCTTTAACCTCCTTTCTTCCTGTTGTTTACTCACTTCTCTGGAAGCACAGGACTAAACTACTGAAAGTATATCCTGTTTTGAGAGCATTCTTTGTTGATGCTGTATTGCTTAATGGTGCTCTGTGCTCACTTAATGAATTAAACTCAAATACACAAACCACTAGAATAAAACCTTTAACATAATGTACTTGATCTTTGCTTAGTGGTGCTATTGATGATAGTCCTCCATTATGAAGAGGGGGTGGATTAAATTATTTTTAATATTTGATAGTGATGAAATAATTCGTGTATGTGTTTACAACTTGAATACATATATTTGTATTATTTGGATTTTTTTTACTCTTTTGGCTTTTTGAGGGCCTGCTACCCAGCTCCCATGTGAATCATACAGAGTCCTATTATCACTTATATATGCCCGGCCTTAGATTGGCTTGTTCCTAGCCAGCTTTTCTGAATGTAAATTATACCATCTACCATTTGCCTCTGGGCTTTTCCTGTTCTCTTACTTCTGTAAAACTTACTCTTACTCCCTGGATTGGGGTGGCTGGATGGCTGGACCCTGATGTTCTCCTCTCCTTGTTCTCTTGCTGCTCCTTCTCTTACTTGTTTCTCCTTCTGTTTATACTCTCTGTCTGCTTGCCCCACCTATCCTTGCTCCTGGCTCACTATTGGGTGTTCAGCTTTGTATTAGGACAACCAGGTATTTTAGACAGGCACAGTAACACAGCTTCACAGAGTTAATCAAATACAGCATAAACAAAAGTAACACACCTTAAAATAATATTCCCCAATATATTTGTATATATAAAATGTACATTTATGAATAATTTAAAATTCACCATATATAAATATATACATATATATATATATATATATATATTTCTTTGTGTACACTATCACAAGTTTACACAATAAACTTTCCCACAGTTTCTAATCTGGCATTTGGAAAATTAGTTCATTAATAACTTGTTTTGTTTAATAACTTTTAGGTATGTCAGATGATATTCATTCATTTGATATTAGAGGACGAATGATCTCACAGGTTAATTTGTTATATTTAAGCATTTTGTATATGCTTTTGAAATTATAATTGTTATTACAACAATAAATTATCACCATAACTGAAAAGACACATATCATAGGATGTTATATTCAATCAACACATAAGCATAGCTAACTATGATTACAAACATTGAGCAAGTTTTTATCATTAACCAAATTTTATAAAGGTAATGCTATGCATAATTTCATTATTGAGAGGAGATTTTAAATTAATTATACAAATATTACAAACATGACATTATTTAAATAATTTAACTGAAAATCACATAAAATATTCATAATAATTCTATAATTTGGGGTTTTCTTTTAGTGCTCAAGGTGGATGCATTTCTCATGTACTTCCTGAATTTTTGCTTGGACCAGAAGATTATAAGAAGTGGCTTGAAATTACAGTAGGAATATTTTATACAGTCACTAAATTTACTAATATATGGTCTCTTTTAAATAACTAGTTTAGATTTTGTGACTTTTGTATCTGAAATGTCCTAAAGCTCAAGCCTCTTTACATTAACGTATATGCTTGTGTTGTATGTGTGTGTGTCTGTGTACATGTGTTTTGCCAAAGGTGAGGATATTAATGAAAAGTTTTCTGAGATTCCTGTGCATAAATGAATCCATGGCTTTCTTCTTTTTCTTTCAGTTTTATGTGTGTGGCATTCATGCATGTGTGTGCTTGTTTACATGTATATAAATTCAAGTGTATGTGTGTTTTTAGAAAACTATCTGTGCTCATGCATATGGAGGCCAGAGGTTGATGTCACATATTTTCTTTACACTTTGTCTTATAGTTTAATGCATGGTCTCATTCAAAATATAGATAGCTGATTCTTCTAATCTAGTTTACCATATTGTTTTATGGAATCACACTTGTCTGCCTTCTGAGCACCAGGACTTCAGGCAGCCATCACTCCTACTCTGCATTTCCATGGGTACTAGGAATTCAGCCTTTGTACCTCATGCTTATGCTATACTCATTGAGGGCTTACAGAGAAAAAGTACATATGCTTTTGTAATTTTATCCTCAAATGTAACTTTTAAGGATGAGTATTTTCCAGAAAAAAATACCATTTTTGTAGTGTCAGGAGAGGACAAAGAGAAATTAAATAAGAAATGCATAGCTTTTAGAAAAGTATAGAGTACATCTCATGTAAGCCTCTTGCTGAGAATTATTTTTTACGTATATGAATTTTAGTTTTGGAAGTCACTTAGAGTTTGATGTGCCAAAGGGAGTCAAGCACTTGTACTGTGGTCTTATGCTGAAAGGCTGTGGCTCTATCTGGACCCAGAGTTCAGGGGAACTTTGGTTTTGTTCCATCCCTTCTACTAGATAATGCAATAATAGATACGTGAAGTGAATAAGTCTGATGTAAGTGATTATCTTATTTAGTGTTTCTATTGCTATGAAGAGATACCATGACCACAGTAACTCTTACAAAGGAAAATATTTAAATGTGTGGCTTACAGTTTCAGAGATTTAGTTTATTATCATCATGGTGGCACATGGTGGGTGTAGGCAGACAATGTGCTAAAGAAGGAGCTAAGAGTTCTACATCTTTCAGGCAACAGGAAGTGATCTTACTCACTTGGCATGGTTTGAGCATATATGAGACCTCAAAGCCTGTGTCCATAGTGACACACTTCCTCCAACAAGATCACACCTATTCCAACAAGGCCACACCTCCTAATAGTGCCATTCCCTTTGGGGACCACTTTCTTTGAAACCCCAACAGTAAATTTTATCCCTAGGAATTCTGTGTGGGTATTGTTTATGTTGTCACAGGAGTAAACATTTTGATGATTGTATAAAATGGACATCTTAATGTCTGATGAAAAGGGAAAAATCTTATTATAAAATTAAACACTAATATTTGCTTTGCATGTTTGTTTATAGTGTATATTTCATTTCTTCCAGACATCCACTAAAAACACAACTCTCTGTACACTTAAGGAAAGGTATTCTGTTAATATAGATATGGATAATTTTGAAGCCTGGAGTACCAGGGCATGGACAGATGTATTTCTTCAGATATACAAGGTAATAGCTCCATTCTTGTTAGCTGTTAAGTTTTTGTTTATTCACATGAGTAGTGCAATGGTATAAATAAAAGAAATGCTACTATAAATGATTTTAAAACACCATAGCTTAGATAAAGTAGGGTTTTCTTTTGTATGAAATCATTGGAAAGTAAATGATCCAGAGTTGTGGCTGATGTATTATTTCCTTAGTCCTAGGCTTTCAGCTATTGGATAGCCTTTTTGATTGAACATTTTTCTAAAATAAGTTGAAAATCTGTACTGTTAATAAAATAAAATAATACAGTAATAATACAAATAACAAATAATAATTTGTTACTAGATTTAAGTGAAGCATCAAATATATGGGTATTACCCAGAATTACAGTTACAGCACCTACTCCTTTTTTCAGACTTGTTGCTAATCCACTAAGATTCATTTTTTCAGCTTTTAATTGTTTTTCTTCATTATCTTGGCATATGATTATTACAATGTAGCTTCTTATTTTTGTATTGTACTTTTTTAGTTTAATCTTGAATTTTGTTTTTACATTTAAATCAAAGTTCCCTCCCCCATCATCTCTCTGCCCTTCTCACCCCCTCCGTTCCTCCTCCACTGTTTCTCTTCAGCTATAGAAGGATCTCTCATGGATATCAGCCAGCCATGTACATTAAGTTGAAATGAGTGTAAGCACCTCCTCTTCTATTAAGGCTGCATGAGGCAATTCAGTAGAAGGAATTATAGGTTGATGAGTTTGTGGCTGGGTTAGTGTACCAGTCTCTTCCCAGTCTTTCCTGGTTATAGGACATGGCTGCTTCAGGTTCCATATACCCCATTGCTAGGAGATTTAGCTAGGGTCACCCTCATAGATTCCTGGGAGTTTCTATTGCTCTAGGTTTCTAACTCAACCTAGAGATGTCCCAAAATTCGAGTTGTCTCTCTCTCTCTGTGCTCTATACTTCCATTCCACCCCTACCTGATCCCCTTCTCTTCCCATCCCCATTCTGCCTTCCAAGCCCCTACCCTATCCACTGCCACTGCCTATTTTATTTCCCCTTCACATTGAGATTCATGTGCCTCCACCTTGAGCCTCACTTGTTATTTAGCTTCTCTGGGTATATGGGTTGTAGCATGCTTCTCATTTACTGCTAATATTAACTTGCGATTGGACACATACCATTTGTCTTTTTGGGTCTCTGTTACTTTACCCAGGATGGTCTTTTAGAATTCCATCTATTTGCCTGCAAATTTCATGATATCATTGTTTTTAACAGTTGAGTAATACTCCATTACTTACATTAAGTGTTCTTTATCCATTGTTCAGTTGAGTGAATCTAGGTTGTTTCCAGTATCTGACTGTTGCAAACAAAGCTGCTATGAACATAGTAGTGCAAGTGTCCTTGTGGTATGGAAGAGCAACCTTTGGTTATATGCCTGGGAATTGTATAGTTGGGTCTTGAGATATATTGATTTGTAATTTAGTAAGAAACTGCCATATTGGTTTCCAAATTGGGCACACGAATTTGCACTCCCACCAGCAATGGAGAAGTGTTCCACTTTCTCTACATTGTCTCCAGCATAAGCTGTCATTGGTGTTTTTGACTTTATCCATTCTGAAAGGTATAAGATAGAATCTCAGTGTCATTTTGATGTTCATTTACCTGATGGCTAAGGATGTTGAACATTTTTTTAAGTGATTCTTAGGACATTTATGATTCTTCTGTTGAGAATTCTGTTTAGAACTGTAACCCATTTTTTAATTGGATTATTGAGTTTTGGTGTCTGTTTTCTTGAGTTCTTTATGTATTTTGGATATTAGCCCTCTGATACAGGTTTGGTGAAGATCTTTTCTCATTCTGTAGGCTGTTATTTTGTCCTTTAGACAGTGTCCTTTGACTTATAATAGCTTTTTACTTTCATGGGATCCTATTTGTTAATTTTCAATGGTAGGATCTTAGTGACTGCATGATTGCTGTTCTGTTCAGGTAGTTGTCTCCTCTGTAATACATTCAAGTCTATTCCACACTTTCTGTTCTATCAGTTTTAGCGTATCTTGATTTATGTTGAGGTCTTTGATCCACTTAGACTTGAGTTTTGTACGAGATCATAGATAATTGATCTGTTTGGTTTCTTTTACGTGCTGCCAGATATTTAAACCAGAACCATTTGTTGAAAATATTTTCTTTTTTCCATTATATATCTTTGTCTTCTTTGTCAAAAATCAAGTGTCCATAGGTATGTTGATTTATTGCTAGGTGTTCACTTCAATTCCATTGTTCAACATATTTTTTTTTGGTTTTTTGAGACAGGGTTTCTCTGTGTAGCTTTGGAGCCTATCCTGGCACTCGCTCTGGAGACCAGGCTAGTCTCGAACTCACAGAGATCTGCCTGCCTCTGCCTCCCAAGTGCCGGGTTAAAGGCGTTCACCACCAACACTCAGCTCAACCTGTCTATTTTTATGCCAATACCATGCTGTTTTTATTAATACAGTCTTGTAGTAGAGCTTGAAGTCAGGGTTGGTAATATCTCCAGCAGTTCTTTTATTGTATCAGATTGATTTGGCTATCCTGGGTTCTTTGTTTTTCCATATGAAGTTGTGCATTGTTCTTTCAAGTACTGTCAAGTATTGTGATGGAATTTTGATGTGGATTGCTAATGAATCTGTAGACAGTTTTTGGTGAGATGGCCATTTTTACTATGTTAATCCTACTGATCCATGAGCATGGGAGATCTTTCCATCTTTTGATATCTTCTCCAATTTCCTTTTTGTTTTTAACTTGCTTGGTTAGAGTTTTTAATTTGCTTGGTTACAGTTACCCCAATATATTTTATATTACTTGCGGTTATTGTGAAGGGTGTTTTTCCACTGATTATTGTTTTAGCCCACTTATCATAGGTATGTAGCAGCATTACTGATTTTTTTAGATAATTTTCTATCCAACCACTTTGCAGAAGGTGTTTATCAGAAGTAGGATTTCCCTGGTAGAACTTGTGGGGTTCCTTATACATACTGTCAAATCATGCACAAATAGCTAACTTTGACTTCTTCCTTTCCAGTTTATATCCTCTTGATCTGCTTTAGTTGTATTATTGCTCTAGCTAGAACTTTGAGTGCTATGTTAAGTAGATATGGGGAGAGTGGACATCCTTGTCTTGTTCCTGATTTTAGTGGAATTGCTTTGAGTTTCTCTTCATTGAATTAGATGTTGGCTGTAGCCTTGCTGTATATTGTCTTTATTGTGTTGAGGTATGTCTTTCATCTCTCTAAGACTTTTATCATCAGAGGGTGCTGGCTTTTGTCAAATGCCTTTTCAGCATCTAGTGAGGTGCTTACGTGTTTTTTTTTTTCTTTTGGTTTGTTAATGCAGTAGGTTAAATTGACAGATTTTCTTATTTTGATCCTTGCCTGTATCTTTGAGATGAAGCCTGCTTGGTCAGGGTGGATAATCCTTTTTGATGTGTTTTTGGATTTAGTTTTCTGGTATTTTATTGAGTATTTTTGTGTCAATTTTCATGAGGTAAGTTGCTGTGTAATTTGCTTTCTTTGTTGAGTCTTGGTGTTTTTTTGTATACCAAGGTGATTGTTGCCTCCTTAAATGAATTTGGCTATATTCTTTCTGTTTCTATTTTGTGGAATAATTTGAGGAGTATTCTCACTACCTTTTCTGCAAATGTCTGGTAGAATTCTGCATTAATAGCTGGCCCTGGGCTTTTTTTAGTTGGACGGCTTTTGATGACTGCTTCTAAATCCTTGGCAGTTATAGGTCTTTTTAAATTGTTTATCTTATCCTGATTTAACTTTGATAAGTGGTATCTATGGAGAAAATTCTACATTTCTTTTAGATTTTCCAATTTGTTAAGTACTGGCTTTTGAAGTAGGTTGAATCCAAATCCGCTGAATTTTTTTCATTCAAATAAAACCAGACAGATTCTGAGTTAGGTTCATAAGTAGATGTTTAAAAAAATCATAAAAATCAACTCATGGATTATATCATATAATATTTACATAGCCAAGGATTATATATTTGAGTTATGCAATACAGTCTCTATTACCTATATTCTATTTTGCTTTTATGAGATTTATACAAATAGTTGACATATGGATAGATCGGTTATTACTACAAGTGCTTTGTTTTTAATCTTTATTATTATAATACAGTAAGTCACCATATTATGTTTGAAATTCTGTTTTGTTTTCTTTTATTATTCATAATTTTTATCTATTTTACATACAAACCACAGTTTCCTCTATATTTGAACCTCTTCTTCCCAGTTTGCCAAGTGATAACTGCAGATAGCAGTATACTTTACGTCCTTTAAGAATTTTTTCCTACTATTAGGCAAAAAGACCAGAAAATTAATATTAATGCCATTGCTCAGTTATTGCTAATTCCTGCTTTAATTTAGCCTCAAACAACCATATGTTTGTATATTATCTTCAATCCACTATTTGCATAGTACCTCCTTTGCTTTACCAGCTATAATTAGAAACATGAGTAGAAGGAGAACTGCAGTAGATTTCATGCTGTAATTTATAACATGTATTAGCCAGGTACAGTAGACATCATATTGGAATTTATTACCTGTATTAGCCAGGTAGGAGCATTAAAGTACAGGCACAACAAAGTAGTTATAACTCATTTGACAGCTTCCAGAAATCCACTCACTGCACTTTTAAGTCCGAAGTGGTCACATAGATGGGCCCTAGTCTCCATGGACTAATTACTTGCAGGAGCACCTTGATGTCTGAATCTGCATTGGTTTTCTAGCCATGCAACACTCAAGAGTACATTCATTTCTTAGTGCTGAAATTTGACACTCAAGTATCAGTTCTTGGTCCAATATACAATCTTTATCTGAAGTCTTAATTAACTTTGAGTTCTTACAGATTTATTTTAGGGTCTGATTTGCTTACAGATTTACTTTTGTATTAGTGTTAAACCATGAGCTATCTCTATATCTAAAAGAAGGTTATACACTGAATATTGATTCTCTCTGTGGAGTTAGGACTCTTCAAGGTAAGTCTTCAGTAGAGATCCATGTCAATTATCTTAAAATATCTAGGTATTTATTGAAAATTTAATTGTCAAAAATTGTCATCTCATGTGCAAAGGAAATGTAATAAAACCAATTATTAATGCTATTCATGAGAGGCAATAAGCCAAATATAACATCCACATCCATATATAAGTAGAAATACATTTGACAGTATTATACACACATTCATTATTTCATAATATTCTATGTTATTTATAAGTCTTTAATATGCTATACTACTGTATAACCTTGGACTCTGTTCTATTAAAGGCCAATTTGTTGATGTTTATTCATAAATTAGACCATTAACAAAAGTGGTTATGTAAGCAATGTTTGGGTGTAGTAAAACCATGAGTATAGATTGCTGAAAATATTTGACCTAATTTGAAACATTAGCTCACATATTTAACAAGACATTCTGTCTTCTGTACTTTCCATTTCATTACATCAATTCATACTTTTGTGACTTTGCTGATAAACAACAAATACTATCATTTTCTTCCAAATGTGTTTTATTTGCATTAAGTGAAGTCTTGTGCTTCCTATAAGCTTTTATTACTCCTTTCCTTTATATAGCTACATATATTAGAATATTTAAAGAACTATTATTTGGTGGCAGAGTGAAAATTGACAAATATTTGAACAGTGTTTGTTTTTAAACAGAACTTCTGTAGAAATAAATTGTGCATATTTTGACTCTTTCTGTATCAGATTATACATCTGTGATCCATGTGAGCCTCTCATCAAATCTGTGTTCCCAGTAAAGGTTTGCTTGCAAATCTTATTCCAAAGTAGCTGTGACAATTGATAGATGAATTCTAAGCTCACTCAGATCATTAGCCCCAAACATTTATCTCATTAGGTGTAGTCAGGTAATTCATCATTTGTTATTGTTCAGAAAGGACTAGGAATCCATATTCAAGACTTTCAGGTGCATTTTAAAGTATATAGGATTTGAAACTCAGGAGTTATTGATCCAATATTTGTTATATTTCTATCATAGAAATTCCAGGAAATATTGAAATAATGCCTTTCATGTTTATGGATTGCTATTCTCAACATATAGTTCAGATAAAATTCCAACATTCTGCATTATATTGATTTCTTGAGAACTCTTAATTTCCATTTGGGACAGGAAAGAACAATTTGAGGCCTTTCATATTTTCAAATTCAAGCTATTTGAGACATAACATAAATATATGACACATGAAGATATGATTACTTTATTTCTATAGTTAGATACCTGGATATGAAAGTACCTTAGGTTGGATTATCCCAAAAGCAGGCTCTGAAACAAATATCAAATACTTTGTTCCAGAAATTAACTCTGTTGGCTATGTGTTTTTCTTTGTTAGGAAAACATTCACTTTTGTGGCAATTTACATTTGCCCACAATAAACTTTCTGAATGGGGAGGTGAATGCTAGGTATATGTGAGCAGGGCAACCATATCTCTAGAACATATGTCACTCAGGTTGTGTTCTTCACATCTAAGATGTTAGAGAACTACCTATGAAATTATCAAATTGTGCTTGTGTGTTGGAGGTAGGAATGTGTATATAATGTAAACAGTTGAAATGACGCATTTATTTAGAATTTTTACAATATATATTGTACAATAATTGAATAACTGTTTCACCAAATACATAATAAAATGTTTATTGCTCTAATCTAGAATTGTCAATAGCTAGTGAAGTGCAAATCTTAGTACCTCTTTGATATATTTCTGTACTTATCAGATAAAGTAAATTTTTAGTGAATGAGTCTGTGACATTCTATACCAAACTTAATAGCATGAGATCAAAATACTCTGAATGATTGTTTTGTACTCTTTATGTCCTTAAATATACATATGCCTGGCATAGTGGCACACACATGTCCCATAGTTTAGGAGGGAGACACAGGCCAGCCTTGGCTACATAGCCAGTTAGAGGCCAGCTGGAGATACACGAGACCATATCCCAAACTAGCCAACAAAAATGCCCTGTAAGTTTTATTTCAAATTGACTTTGGGTGGCATAATGTTTAAGGTTGACTGTCAAAATGACAGGATCTACTATAACAACTTCTCGACAGGTGTATGAGAGAATGACTAGATTGGGCAAATTAACCTAAGAAGCTCCCTCTAAATATAGGTAATATCATTACACAGGCTAAGGTCCAAAATGAAATAAAATGAAAGCAGTTTGAGTTCCAGCATTTATCTTTATCTGCTTCCTGACTCTGGTTACAGTGTGACCAGTTATCGCACATTTTGGAGACAGTGTTTCCCTTTCCTTAAAACTGTGAGCATGCCTCAGTTGGTGGTGCACGCCTTTAATCCCAGCACTCAGGAGGCAGAGGCAGGTGGATCTCTGTGAGTTCGAGGCCAGCCTGTTCTCCAAAGCGAGTGCCAGGTTAGTCTCCAAAGCTACACAGAGAAACCCTGTCTCGAAAACAAATAAATAAATAAATAAATAAATAAATAAATAAATAAATAAATAAATAAATAAATAAATAAATAAATAAATAAATAAATAAATAAATAAATAAATAAATAAATAAATAAATAAATAAATAAATAAATAAATAAATAATAAAAATTAAAAATACTGTGAGCCAATATAAAGCCCTTCTTCCTTAAAACATTCTTTTCAGATATTTTGTTATAGCAGCAAAAGTAACTAATACAGATGGGTAAGTTAAAAATACTAATACAGATGGGTATGTTTTTCATAGTTAATATTTTAAGCTTTGTGAACTATAAGAAAACAAAAAGTGTGCCACATTCATGTGAGTTAATGAATTGACATTTTAATAGATCTGTGGTCAACTATAGAATTTTTTTAATTAAGTAAGAAGTGTCTTGTTGAAAGTTGCATAGTAAGCAACTCCATAGTATAAATGATATTTAAGCAAAAAGTTGAAGACTGAAAATGACCACTAGTGGCACATCTCTCATTTATTCTCTTATTCCAGAGAGTATGCATTAACCAGAAAATACTATTGTTATCCCTTGCCTATATGCTTGGGATAATTAACTTTTCAAATATGAATTTATTGTCCATGTGATTCTAGTAACTATTTCTTTTAAAATTCCAGGTTATGGTTCTCTCTCGGGTCACACCACATAGCTACAATTCTGCTCCACCTCTACATGGGGAGACTACATCCAAAATCAACCCTTGTTTTGCATCCAGCAACATATATTCTAATTCTGAAAGAATTCTACTTAGTTGGTTGAATACAAATTATGAGAGTCATCGACATGTTATATGGAAAAACAATAAAACAGGTATGATTTTTTCCTGTAAACAGTTAAAATTTGTAGTGCAAACATACAAGGGGTATGGAACCATATTCAGAATCTGTGGATTCTAAACTACTTACATGATTTATTCTGTATTTTGTAGGAAGGATATCATTTCAAGAACTTCAGGGTGAGATAGTAAAAAAATTCCTTTTAGTATATTTGGGAAGAGAAATGATGTAATGTATATAGACATCTTCTGGGAAATTGGATATTAAAGACACCCATAACATTGTTGCTAGCATTTTCAGCTGTGTAAAGTACTAAACTTAGTTTGCATTTTATTTATGAATGTCAGGTTGGATCTTACTCAGTGAAAATAATGTTTCATTAATTCTTTATTCAGGAGATCATGGTAACCTCATACACAAACATATTTAACTGTTCCCTAATAAACAGCTACATTGAATTCTCTACCAAGAGCCTGAAATTCATTTTGTAAAGATCTAGTTGCTAATATAGCTATATATTTTTCCTTTCTGTCCTCTGCATTACCTGTATTAAATGGAAATATGTGTTTTGTTTTAAAGCTCCTTCTTTCCTCAGAGAACATACAAATCTTTTGTGCTCTTAGTAGACTTTGCTAATACTCCACTTGTGAAGTTCAGTTAAAGCCCAGGAACTAAGCAGAAGATTGTAGAGTTTGGTTTTAAGTAAGATTTTTGGTTTTTTTTTAAGGGGGGAGGTTTCGAGACAGGGTTTGTCTGTGGCTTTGGAGGCTGTCCTGGAACAAGCTATTGTAGACCAGGCTGGTCTCAAACTCACAGAGATCCACCTGCCTCTGCCTCCTGAGTGCTGGGATTAAAGGCATAGGGGATTGCATTTTCTCATAAATTGAAGACATTATTACCTAATACTCTCTTCAAAACAGCACAATCTTCAAGCTGTTTATCTACTGTTCTTTATTTGTATTTGAATAGAACTTTTCTAACATAATATGTATCTTTTTATCTGGCTCCCGCCCCCATAGAATGTGGACTTCTTTAAAGGTACAGGTTCTTTTTTAAAATTAATCCTTTTGGCTTTTGAAATTGTACTATACTTACATCATATCTTCTTTTCTTTCTTCTCTCCAAATACTTCCATAGACCTCCCCCTGCTTTCTTTCAAATTCATGGCCTCTTTTTTGTTTTTCGTTATTTGTTAGTTCATACACACACACATATATGTGTGTGCATGTCTCTCTCTGTGTGTGTGTATTTATAAATGCATAAGTACCATCTGCTCCATCTGTGTAATATTATTGCTGTATATGTTTTCAGGGTTGACTATTCTGTATTGTATAACCAATAGATATGCTCTTCCCTGAGGAAGATCATTTCTCCCATAGTCAATATTCCTTGGTTGACTGTAGTTCATTGCTTGTGTAGGGCTAAGATGTCCTGGGATTCCCCTATCCACTTTGTCATATCTGTTGTCCTTGTTCAGCTCATATTTTGGCAGTCACGTTGGTGAGATTTTGTGTGTGTAGCTTTTGATATTATTAGGAGATACAATCTTACTGAAAATCACCGTTACTCTGGCCCTTGCAATCTTTCTGTCCCCTCTTCTGCAATATCACCTGAGACTTAGGTTCAGGAGTTGTTTTATGTGTCTCTGGACTCTATTACTTTGCAATTTCAAGTTGTGGCTTTCTATAATGGCCTTAGTATTTTGTAAACGTATGTTTCCTTGGTAAGGTGTGAGGACTACATTTTTCTGTGGATGTAAGCAAAACGTTTTAGCTAAGGATTTTATGCTGATTCAATAAATTAGTGGTTGTGAGTTTTCTTTCAAGGTCCATGACTTCTATATCCCTGGGAAGTTGGCTAGGTTTCCAGTACTAGGCATGGTTTCCCTCCTTTTGAGTGGTACTCATGCCCTGTTGGAGAGCTATTGTTTACTGTGTAGATGTGTGAGCTCCTACTGCATTCTTAGTGTTATCTTGCCATACTGGTTGCTGTGGTTCAAAGGTATAATCACTGTGTCCCCCATTTGGAAACTTGCCTGGTGTCTTCTTGTACCACCAAAGTTTTTTCTCAGGAAGGGCGGCAGATCAGTTCTAGGTCAGGAGTCTCTGGACGCTGTGTCTGAAGTACACGGTGTCTTCAGCAACAGGGACTTAACTTCCACCTTTGTGAAACAACCAATTGCAATAGCAATTGCCTATTTATGTTTGGGATTCTCTTGGATAGCCCTGAATAGCAGTTCAAAAAGGGCTTCTCATGCCTGGTTTTGGAGTTGTTAAGGTGGTCTTTGAAAACACTAGAGGGAGTGTTGTCAGCCCAGATAAGAAAAAATTACATTTGAACTCTGTGTACATTTATGCACAGACTTATATGTATCCTAGGCTTTTGAAATACATAGTTGATAAAAGTGCTTAGGAATTTTTTAAACATCCTTATTTTTTTCTTTTTTTATGGTGGGGTTACAGATTAATTTTTTTTAAATTCAAATTAGAAACAAGCTCCTTTTACATGTCAGTCTCATTTCCCTCTCCTTCACCTCCTCCCATGACCCCAACTGGCCCCCTGTCTCAACCCCTTTCTGCTCCCCAGGGAGGCGAGGCTTTCCATGGGGGAATCTTCAAAGTCTGCCATATCATTCATAGAAGGGCCTAGACCCTCCCAAGTGTGTCTAGGATGAGAGAGCATCTCTCTATGTGGATTGAGCTCCCAAAGTCCATTCCTGTACTAGGGGTAAATACTAATCCACTACCAGTGGCCCCATAGATTGTTCAGACATTCAAACTGACCTCCTCGTTCAGGGATTCTGTTTCAGGGCTGTTTCCCAGTTGTCAGTCTGGAGTCCATGAGCAACCCCTTGTTTAGGTCATCCTCATTTTTATTTTACCCTCTTTTCCCCATCTTCTCTAAATACCACCCCCACCCCAATTCAAATATCTCCCATTTTCTCATTTCACCAGTCAGGTCATTTGTACCCTGTTACTTCTCTCTGTATTAACTCCTCTAATCCAGTGTCCCTACACCAGCAATGGTCCTTTCATCTTTCCTGGTTTCTATATTTATCCCAAAATATGTACTCGTCTCTACAGATTTATAGTTAGGAGCCTATAATAAGAGAGAAAATGCATCTTTCTGTGTCTTGGTTACCTAACTCAGAATGATCTTTTCTAGTTCTACACATTTGCCTTCAAAGCTCATGATTCAATTTTTATTTACAGGTAAATAATATTCTTTAGTGTATATATACCATATTTTCCTTAACCATCCATCTGTTGCTTCAACATTTAGGTTGTCTCCATTTTATAGGCATTTTTAATAGAAAAGCAATGAACACAACTGAGAAAATACCTGTTGAGTAGGGTGCCAAGTCCTTTGTTCATGTGCCAATGTGTGGTTAAAGCTAGGTCATATGGTAGATTACCTTTATGTTTCTCAGAGTTTTCCACACTGATATCCATAATTGCCTCAGCAGTTTTTAATCTCATCGTAGTGAATTACCATTCCCTTTTTACAGCACCCTTCCCAGCTTTTGATATCAGTAGAGTTTTTTTTATCTTTGCCATTATGATTGATAGAAGGTGAAACCAAATAGTTATTTTTATTTTCACCTTCTAACTGCAGGGGATAATGAACATTTTGAGGTATTTATTAGCTTTTTTTCTCTTTCTTTTAGTACTCTGTTTAAGTCCTAGCCTTGTTTTGGAACAGGTCGTTTGCTGTGTCATTTTTGTTTTTGTTTTGTGTTTTTATGTATTCTGTGCATGAATGCTCTATCAGATGTGTAGCTGCTAAAGATTCTCTCCCATGGGCTTCCTCTTCACCCAGTTGATTGTTTCTTTAGCTGTGTTGAAGTGGCTAAGTTTTATGAAGTCCCACTTGTCAATTGTAGATCTACTCTAAAAGATTTCAAAAGAAAGTGAACACAGTAGGGGACCAAGTGTTTGCATGATCCTGTAGGGACCCTTTCTTGTTAGAACTACAACCATTAGGGGTATTTAATTCTTAAATACTGCTTCTGGAAGACAATACTTGTGTAATACGGTAGAATTTACACAAGATATATATGCAGTGTCAAACAATTAAAGATTTACTTTGATAAATGAAAACTCATAGATAGATTCACTTCATTTAACCTACATAGAAAAAGTAATTAAGAAAATGGGTACTATCCATTCCCTAGGGAGGGATACTATTGCAGCCCAGATACAGTAAGGAGGACCTAGGCCCTCCCCCAAATGATATGACAGACTTTGAAGGTCCCTTGTGGAGGGCCTAATTATCCCTGGGGAGAAGTTGGAGAATGGGTGGGGGTGGTTGGTGGAGAACATGGGAGGATTCGAGGTGGAGGGAATGGGGTGATGGATATGCAAATATGAGTAGTAATTAAAGAAATTTTAAAAAAGAGAAGAAGAAAAGAAAATGGGTACTATCAAGACAAAACATTCACCCTAAAGCATTTTTCAGTAAATTGATTATTGGGCCATGATGATTGTTCTGAGCATTCTATGCTTTTTTCAGCTGTATGAGCAACAAATACTTTTAGTTGTTTATGTATTTTCCAAAACTTCTTGAGAGTTTATTAAATAATTTTTTAATTACATTATGTACTGTGGTGTTTTGCCTACCCTTCTGTGGCAATTTGAGTAGATTTGCTAAATTTATCTCATTGGAATTTATTTTTAATGACAGAACATGTAAAGACTGAGTGAAGCAACTCATTGGTGAAATGGTATATTGATGAGTATAAAGCTGTAAAAATTGCTGAGAGGGGCAGCCATCCAGAGCATTAAGATTAAAGCCACTATTTTTAGATTTCTGCCTTTTTCATTTGAAGAATCATGAATAATAGCTGTGATCTTGGAACTGTGTTAAGAAATCATTGTTTATTCTAGTTTCTTTAAACTCAAGACTTAAGTGTGTAGAGGTTGGACACTTTAGCTAGCACAGCTGGATTTAGCACTGAATGGAGACTACATGGGTTAATCCTGAGCAAGACCATCAATCTCAGTTTGAGGAAATTTCCTTTCATTAGTACACATG